GTGAATTGTAAATATTTTCTCCCAGATTGTGGCATCTCTGTTTATTCTGTTCAGCTTCTTTCACAGAACTGAAGTTTTAAATTTTGGTGAAGTACAGTTTGTCAGTTTTTTTCTTTTATGAATAATGCTTTTGTTGCTGTATCTAAGAACGTTACCTGTTCCAAGCTCATGAAGATACTCTCCTATGTTTCATATGAAGAGTTTTATGATTTATACAGTTGACCCTTGACCAACACAGGTTTGAACTGTGTGGGTCCACTTATACATGGATGTTTTTCAATAAATATGTTGGAAAACTTTTCGCAAATTTTTTAATTTGAAAAAACTCACAGATGCACTGCATTGCCTAGAAATATTCAAAAAATTTAAAAAAAGTTAGGTATGTTGGGAATGTATAAAATATGTGCAGACAGAGATTTAACATACAGAATGTATATTAATTGACTGTTTATGTGTTGGTAAGGCTTCTGGTCAACAGTAGGGTAGGAAGAAAGAATGGAGGGTATCCATGAAGACTGAACATGTAGATAATACTATTTTATTTTGTACACATTGAAGATGTAATTCAATTGGGAAGTAACAGTGCAGAAGAGAACTTTTGTTAATATGCTGGTATTTTTTCTCAGATTGTTAAAATGACATTTCAGAATTTAAAAATTCTAATTGAACTCTTGGATTTCAATTTCAACTTCATAAAGCTGAAAGAATTGCATAATTTAATGACAACTGTGCAAAATAAACCCTAAGTAGACTCTCAAGTCCTACTTACATAAAAATCAGCTTATACAGAACACCATACTTTTAAGTCCGCGGCCTTAATAAGTACTTTGTGCCAGTTACAGCCCCAAGGATCTTTAGCCTCTTAATAAATTTTCCTTACTATATATAAATAAGTGGTTAACTTAAGCTACACATAGGAACCACCTGGTGTGCTTTAGAAAATAATGAAACCTGGTCCTATCCTTAGCAATTCTGATGTAATTTTTTTCTTTTTAATTGTAATGAAATACACATAATAAAGTTTTTTACTGGTGACATTTAGTACTTTCACAGTATTGTGCAACCACCACTCTAGTTCCAGGACGTTTTCATCACCCAAAAGGAAATCCTTTACCATTAAGCATTCACTTCCTATTCCCCCATCTCTGCAATTACTAATGTATAGAAATAAAACTGATTTTTGTGTGTTGATCTTGTATCCTGCTGCTTTGCTGAATTCATTTATTAGCTCCAATAGGTTTCTGTTGTGTATTCTTTAGGGTTTTTTTTTTTTAACATATCAGGTCATGTCATCTGTGAATAGATACTACTTCTTTTCCAATTTGGATGCTTGTCATTTCCTTTTTTGACCTAATTGATTTGGCTAGAACTTCCAGTACAATGCTGAATAGCAGTGGTGAAAGTAGATATCC